TGATTATCATTATCATTATCATTATTATGATTGTTATTATTATTATTATTATTATTATTATTATTATTATCATTATTATTATTATTATTATTATTATTATTATTATTATTATTATTATTATTATTATTATTATTATTATTATTATTATTATCATTATTATTATTATTATTATTCATCAATATTATCATTATTATTATTATTATTATTATTATTAGTAATTATTATTATTGTTATTATTATTATTATTATTATTATCATTATCATTATTATTATTATTATTATTATTATTATTATTATTATTATTATTTATTGTTAGTATTATTATTATTATTATTATTATTATTATTATTATTATTATTATTGTATTATCATTATTATTATTATAATAGTATTATTATAATTATTATGTAATATATTATTATTATTATTATTATTAATCCATTATTATTATCATTATTGATAATATTATTATTATTATTATTATTATTATCATCAATGTTATTATTATTATTATTATTATTATCGTTATTATTATTATTATTATTATTATTATTATAATTATTATTATTATTAGTATTATTATTATTATTATTATTATTATTATTATTATTATTATTATTATTATTATTATTATTATTATTATTATTATTATCATTAATATTATTATTAGTATTAGTATTATTATTTTATTATTATAATTATTATTATTGTTATTATTATTATTATTATTATTATTATTATTATTATTATTATTATTATTATTATTATTATTATTATTATTATTATTATTATTATTATTATTATTTATTTTTATTTGTATTAATTTGCTATTAATTTTATTAGTTGTAATTGTAATAATAATAGATATAATTATTATTATTATTATTTTTTCTTTATTGGGCACCCCCCTACATCCTTGTGTAAGGTGAAGCGCAGAAGCGTTTACAGCGCCCAACAGGGAAGCATGCTAAGTTCATGCTTGCCTTTATGTCTCACGAGTTAAGGGCGTAGAAGCCTGAAGAGTAAATGGTTTATGTCATCAAGTTATTGGAAGCTCCAACAACTTTCCCTGAATACGAATTAGCAACTTTAGATTGACAACAGGTACCTACATTACTGCTAGGTGAACAGGGACCAATGAGGGCTAGGAAGTTTGTCCAAACAACTTTTCCACCAGCCCGGGAATCGAACCCGTGACATCACGCTTGCCAAGTAAGAGCGGTACCGTTCTACCACCGGCGCTGCCCCCCTGGCCCTGATGTGGTTCAGTGACCTGTGCCCGGGTGGGTTATTCCCCGTAAAAAAAAAAAAATAATAAAATAAAAAAAAAAGTTCGTCGATGATGGCGCTGAGTCACATCCACCAACGAATATAAACAAAGGTCGAGTGTGTACGTCTGTACATCCAATGTACTGACAACTCACTTTACTCGCCTCTTTTACCACCCAGAGAGAACCAGTAAACGGTTGAGGCTCTTAGAGTCTCTCACAAGAGAGTCTTATAAGGTCGTCAGCTTGACAATGTACACTCGGGAATAAACCGTAAAAGAAATAGATGCTTCTTTTCATGTCTGTAAAACTTTTCTAGACTTTACTTTGTAGGGCGGCTGAGTTGATACACCGCTCGCCTCCTGTCCCTAGAGACGCTCTCAGGCCCGGGGCATGCTTATTCATCCAGCTGTGTATGATAGTCCTTATTCATCCAGCTGTGTATGATAGTCCTTATTCATCCACCTGTGTATGATAGTCCTTCTTCATCCACCTGTGTATGATAGTCCTTATACATCCAGCTGTGTATCATAGTCTTTATTCATCCAGCTGTGTATGATAGTCCTTATTCTTCCACCTGTGTATGATAGTCCTTATACATCCACCTGTGTATGATAGTCCTTATACATCCAGCTGTGTATGATAGTCCTTATTCATCCAGCTGTGTATGATAGTCCTTATTCATCCACCTGTGTATGATAGTCCTTATTCATCCACCTGTGTATGATAGTCCTTATTCATCCAGCTGTGTATGATAGTCCTTATTCATCCAGCTGTGTATGATAATCCTTATTCATCCAGCTGTGTATGATAGTCCTTCTTCATCCAGCTGTGTATGATAGTCCTTATACATCCACCTGTGTATGATAATCCTTATTCATCCAGCTGTGTATGATATTGATGGATATATCGATTAGGAGTAGTGGTGTGAGGAGTAGTGGTGTGAGGAGTAGTGGTGTGAGGAGTAGTGGTGTGAGGAGTGGTTAAGTTAGTGTTAGGTTAGTCTTAGGTTAGGTTAGTTATAAGTTAACGTTAGGTTTATGTTAGATTAACGTTAGGTTAGTGTTAGATTAGAGTTTAGTTAGGTTAGTGTTAGATGTGTAGATGCAGCCTGGTCTCCTGCCTCACCACATTAATCAACTCATCCGCAGCCAACATTCAGCTCATCAAACTCTATATCATCAAACCCCTATACCCCAAAAAGTCCAATGACGACATGGACAGGCTCATGGGTGGCATAGATAAGATGGTCGTTTATGCATTGTGATCTAGGCAGCAGTGCAATCTTGTCGTGTCTGTGCGATTGAGCAGCCCTTTCCAGGAGCCACACCTGCTTACCCCACATGGGAAGGTAGCTAGAAAAGGTGCCCTTAACGTAGTCTGCCTAAAGAACCAACTTGACTGGGCAACCGCACCCAGTAAGGTCATCCCTATGTGGCCGTAAACATATTCATAACCACAGATGAAATAAAAAACAAACTATAT